CGATGCCATTTTTCTCGTTTCTCTCTCTCTCTCTCATACACACACACACACCAACACAAATTTTCAAGCTAAAAACTTTCAATTTATCAAAAGGTTTTTGGTTTATGGTGAACATTTTTTTCTCAAAATAAATTGAAAAGTATTCTTTGCCTGAAAGTTTGGGAACAATCTTGAAAAATTCAATACCAAATTTCAGTTTAATATAAATTAAAATATTATGCATTGCCTAAAATCTTATCTTTCAGTTTAACATGGCTCGAAACGATAATCGGAATTCAACTAAAAAGTGGTTTATGGTTGGATAGTTAAACTAGCATATGATGTATGAACGGAAAAGTAAACTGAAATGTCACTAATGGACAAAACATTAAACCGAAAGTTTATTTTTGAGGAAATTATAAATCGAATTCGTTTGGTTTGCTTGAAATTAATTTGAAAGTTTATTTTCAACAAAAAATAAATTGAACGTGTTGTTTTTGAAGAAAATTATGCATGAAATTTTCTCTCAATTTTTCAGGTGAAGTTTCACAAGGGTTGTTAACCTATAAAGATGTCCATATGGTTCACATGCATGCTAGAGATAAACTTTGTCTTTTGTCACTTATATTCTACTTGCACCCTACAAGAGGGCATCACAAGAATCAGTGTCCACCTCGCTACCATCATAGAAAGCAATGTGCGTTAATGACACCCACTTAAATGGCGTACTTGTGAAAATTCGAGCAAGGTTTGAGGAATGTCTGAATTAACCAAGGGGGAAAAAAAGCTTTAGCCCTTTGAACCTTTGCAACTCGACGTAAGTGTCCATGCAATGACTTGCTGATTCTGGAGCCCGTGACCTGTTGATCCAAGGCTGTAACATAGTTAGGTTAGTTTTGTTATTTGTTTGAGTGAGAGCCAACCGAAAGATTCGCTTGTGAGGAAAATTCGTGAGGGACATATCTGTAAATTCGTAGAATTTCAGGCTCGCACTAACTCGAGTTTCCTACAACTACCCTAACCGGGAATAGCAGACTCGGGCTACCATTAGGACAGAAGGGCCTACGGGCCTATGCTGGTAGATGATCCTATAGCCTATAGACAGGAAGGGAGAGGCCGGAGAGGCCGAACAGAAACGGTACCGGTCAGTTCAGTGAGTTCGGTCTAGTTCGTGTTTAGGTTAGGGTAGACTATGAATAGGTCTAGGAAAAAATTGTTCGGGGCTTTTGGCAGTTGGTACCGTGTACATTGCAGCTGCGCAACGCATGAACTGGTGGTGGTACAGGTTCAACGTTGGAGGAGACCGATATAGCCGGACCTTCGAAGTGTTGACCATAGTTGGGACCTGCGCTGTTCTTTGACAACAAGCGGGGCTGTTTAGAGGTCCGAGCTATCTGAAGTTTGTTGGTGGTAAGAGAAGTTGGTGCCCTATTGAACCCTCCTCAGGAGTAGGGTGTCAGGGTGTGTGGCGTTGCAACCATAGCTGCAACTTTTATCCTCAGAAATCGTCTTTGTCAAGAAAGGTGGTGATGCTGCAGATTTCCATTCGGGAGGTCTTTTGGCACTGCATCGTCATCAGAGACTGTGGCGTTGGTCTTCTTCTTCATCTTGTGAGGCGCTTGGCGCCAGAGGCTTATTTTAGGGTGGCGCTTCCCTCCAGAGGCAGTATATGGGTGGCGTTGGTTATTTCGGGGACTCGGGGGTAGTGATAGCGATTATTTAGGATTTCGGGTTGAGGGAAGAAGTGTTGCTCATTTTTTAGCAGCGCATCACAGTTTTGAAGTTGTTCTAACAAATTGAGACTCTCATTTTTAAAAACAGTGCCGATAATATGGGTGAACTATCTTTGCTGCATTGTTTTTTGGATGTGATCTACTTTGTTTTCCCTTTGTGACTGATTGTGAGGATTCTTTGGAGTGAATTGCACTTTCAGTGTACTCTGTCATATCGCGTGGTCAAGTCTTCCACTGTGTTTCTATCTCCTTGTGTGAAACTCTCATCGTCTCCCCTTCCTTCTGTGTATGTATGGGCATACCTGAAAGTGTATGTGAGTGAGTGTTGGTCTTCAGACAACAAACAACTAGGTTCATAACAGTTGGTATCGCAACGATTGGATCCAGTCAGTGGAGCACTTGACGAGTTGGAGCAACTACCATCATCTGGCGAGACACCGAGTTGGACTCCATGGCGATTTGTCATCTTCTGTGTTGGCGAAAGTGAGGGTGGTGGTAGTAAGTGTGTGGCGAGAGGTGTTGGACAGAGAATGATTCATTCCTGCCCAGGGTTGTACAGTGGTGATCAGAGGCCTGGGAGGCTCTGAGGAAGCTATTTTGAGCCTAACGATTCATCGGAGATTGCCGATTTGCAAGGTGGTGACCCCCAGGGCGTTGCGATTTTGGATTGGGTTAAGGTTCCCTATTCCCATGCAGTGCATGGCTGGTTGAAGTAGTGTTGCACTGAGTTGCTCAGTAATTGGCACCCGGGAAGTGAGGGTTGAAGAGCAATAGGGAGATCTATAGGACCACCAAGTTTAAGGGGATTTTGTGCGTGGGAACACGGGGAACTGTCAGGGGAAGAAATTGGCGAGATGGGTCTTAGAAGACAGTCATTGATAGGGTTTTGCTCAGTAATTGGCACCTGGGAGTCCAGATTCATTGAATATATTAGTGGGGGTGAAGCGCAATATGGAGATCTATAGGACGACCAAGTTTTAGGGGATTTTGTACGTGGGAATACGGGGAACTGTCAGGAGAAGAAATTGGCGAGATGGGTCTCAGAAGACAGCCATGGCTAGGGTTTTATTTATCCCCTTCAGAGAAGTACCTGAAGTAAGTGTGTTTCTTACTCTACTCTGTGTGGTGATTCTAGGGCTATTTTTAGATTAGCGAAATTTGGCTTGTCAGTCAGAAGACAGTTGAAAATCGAAATCCTGATAGTGAGACAACCTTAGCCAATTTCCTTTGCCCTACCTTGTTTGTTTTCTACTAACCTGGTTGACCCTCTCTCTGACTCAATTTTCATTTGTGATTGCTTTACGGTGTTGCGATTCATATTATATAGGGAATTGGATTGTTAAGGGTCACACGGTCAGGGATAATGAAAATTGGAATTCTTCGCCGCCATAACTGGAGCTTGGTCAGTTTAGGGTTGACCATAGTCGATTCTGTCTGTCAGAATTCAGTTTTGCTAGTCCGTGGTGAATCGCAACTCAATATTTAGCTTGTGTCTAAAATCATACTGACAAATTTGATGTCTTGAGTTAGTTATAGTGAATTATGTGATTCGCCATACCCTGGGTATGACATACAGGGTCATCCAGTGGTGAAGTCGGTAGGGTAAGTCTAAAAATAGCACACAATAAATTACTATATCTTGGTCATCTGTAATCACCTGTCAACCAATAATAGTCACTCTATTTAATTACAGTTTATTACTAATCATCCCAAGACTGCATCCTGAAAGTTATTAATACAGGATTTGCAGTAATTGCATTCAATTGATGTGTCAGGGCATGGAAAATCGTGAAATTGATTTTTGTCGAGTTGATTGTAATGTGACCCCCAACCCTCAAGCGGTCTGCAGAGACTGAGCACTTACCTGCTCATGCTAACCAACTTCTTTCCTCATTCAGATGACAACAATTGGACAAGTACTAGAGGGAAAATCCAATTATTGTTGACTTTCATTTTGTCTCTTATCCCTTACTATCTTTAAGTGAATAGCGGGTCTCGCATCACGCTCCCGCGAGAACCCGCATGCACTGTTGGGAACACCGCGGGACAGTCGGCCTTGGGCCTAACGAGGAACGTCTACCGTTGTTGATTTTTTTTTTCACGTCGGCGTCCTTGGCTCTATCCTACCATTGTTCGGATACACAAATCGACAGTGGCGGCCCTGTAGGATTGCGAAGCTTCTAACGCGTTTTTTTTTTTGTTTGTTTGTTTTTAGTTCGCACGTCAACCAGTTCTTCGGTTGTATCCCACCGTTGGCGGCCCCGTCGGATCGCGAATGTTCCATCGCGCCATGTAGAAGTTCAATTTTTTGTTTTTTTAATACTTTGCACGTCAGCTAGTTGAATGCCATCGCTGATGAATCCTTTCGCCCCATTGTGCAACGTTGGTGTTCGTCGACCGCAGAGAGAGAGAGAGAGAGAGAGAGAGAGAGAGAGAGAGAGAGCCGTGAGGTTGCGGGGTAGGGTCGGTAGAGGCGACGTGGGGTGTCGAAAAGGCAAGCGACTGAGCGAAGGTAGGGAGGAAGGGAAGTGTAGAAGTTTCAATTTTTTGTTTTCTTTAATTCTTTGCACGTGTTGAATGCCACCGCCGATGAATCCTTTCGCCCCACTGCGCAACGCTGGTGTTCGTCGACCACAGAGAGAAGGAGAGAGAGAGAGAGAGAGAGACGATGTGAGGTTGCCGGGTAGGGTCGGTAGAGGCAACGTGGGGTGTCGAAAAGGCAAGCGACTGAGCGGAGGGAGGGAGGAAGGGAAGGAAGAAAGAGGAGGGAGGCAGGAAGGGAAGGAAGAAAGAGGAGGGAGGGAGGAAGAGCGTGGGGAGGACGAGGAAAGGGAAGCGACTGAGCAGAGGGAGGGAAGAAGAAACAGGATTGGGGAGGACGAGGGAAGATAGCCGGAGGGAGGAAGGGAAGGAAGAAAGAGGAGGAAGGGAGGAAGAGCGTGGGGAGGACGGCGAAATGGAAGTGACTAAGCGGAGGGAGGGAAGAAGAAAGAGGATTGGGGAGGATGAGGGAAGACAGCTGTGCGAGCAGAGCGGCGGAAGGAGAGGGATCAGAGGACAGAATACGTAAAAGCAGCGGATGCCAGCAGAGGAGCGTGTGGTCGGAGGAGCGCAAGGAGCGCATGAGTGAAGACGCTGAAGAGAGATGGAGGACAGGTGTGGTCGATGAGTAGGAAGGGTGCGGAGAGAAACATAAGGGAGGAGAATGTGGAGGGCGGAACAGAAGGGAGGAGCATAGGAGGAGGAAGGCAAAACAAGAAGCAGACACATATTTGGAGGACAAAGGTCGGAAAAGGATGGAGGATGGTTGGGTGAAAAGGAAGGAGGACAAGCCCAAGGGAGAGAGGAGTGACAACGATGAAAGCAGAACCACGAACCCTCACAATTTTTTTGCACTTTTTTTATTTTTATAACGTCGAGATTGAATGATTGGATTGTCAGGATGGGGACGTGCGGGATCCAGTTATGAAGAATCGGGACTGGGGTATGAGAGAGAGAGAGGGAGAGAGAGAGAGAGAGAGAGAGAGAGAGAGAGAGAGAAGAAAGAGGACTTACATTCACGAGGAAGCGACCGGGAGCACGTCGGGATAGCGCCTCGATGACAAGAGGGCGGGGAGGAGTAGGAGACGGACGAGATGGGGAGTCGGGACCGGGGGTATGACCGAAGGCAGCAGGACGAGAGAGAGAGAGAGAGAGAGAGAGAGAGAGAGAGAGAGAGAGAGAGAAAGGTGGTGCGGGAGGTCGGCGGACCAGCGGAAGGGGGTGAAGCGCAGACAGGATCGCGGTCAGGATGGAGGGTGTTCCTCAGGGTGCTGGAGGGTCGGGATGGGGGCAGGCGGGACTCAGTTATGGAGAATCGGGACCAGGGGTATGACCGAGAGAGAGAG